AAAGCCGACGTCCCTTAATAATTCACAGCACTGTGTTCAGGATAGCCATTTTTATCTCCCCAGCCATTTTTAAAAGACAAAGTTTGAGATACTGAGACTTATGGGTAATATTCAGCAAGCCAGGTTCTTTTAGGAAAAGGTTAAAAGTTTATCTGGCTTTTGTTTAAAAACAGAAATGGTTCAATATAATTATTGAAAGCAATTTGATGCTATATACATATGTATTCATAGCGTATTTGAAATCAGAAAAAACGGTGACTGAAATCTAACCTTTTCTAACCTGTGTCATTACTAACATTTTATAGCTGTAAACCAAAAGTTACTGTATTTCATACAATAAATTACAGGTCCAAGCTAGTAAAGTTCAGGGCCCCCATTGTTCTGATTTTCCTTTGCCGTTTTTTGTTTGTTTGCCTGTTTGAGAAAATTGCTTAACAGAATTTTGTTTATTAATACAATGTATTAAAAAAAAAAATGTTATCAATATTTATGAATTTCACACTTTCCATTGAAAAAATATTATTTGCTATTAATACAAAGAATCATGTATTGTGTAAATAATCTACATATTCATGTATGTGATATTTTAATGTTTATTTTTTTAAAAGTCAAAGTTTCCCCCCTCCCCCTTCGGTAGATTATTAATATGGTAGAAATGTTTATTGGTGTACATTAAGATACAAATGCTCATGCTTGTTACTTGGTAGGCAGATTGGTTGCAAATTTTTGGAATATTATCATATCAGTTATAATGTAGGTCTTTGTTGTATAATCTCTCATCTACATATATAAGAGGTGTTCACACAATTTGTCAAAAATTCATCAAGAAACCAAAGTTATTATGTTTGATGTGGGAGCCGGTTTTCGTATAGGTGTTGATTTGTCTGGTTGTATTTTCAATAAAATGTGAATTGTTGATGTTTTGAATAAGGCTTTAGTTGTATATTAAAGCGAAGGAGTCGTCACCTGCACATGCGGACAATCGGCCATAGTGATTTGTTAATTGTTTACAAACGCATGTGACAACCCTCCGCTTCAAAGCTTGGTCGGGAAAA